GAGGGAGGGAGGGAGGGAGGGAGGGGGAGGCAAGGCTCATTTTTTAAAAGGGAACATAGTGAATGTGCACAGGAGGTGCTCTTAGTGGCTACAGCTGAGGATGTATTCTGTGAGGACCCCAAGGGCAGGCCAGTGCAGATGCCTGAATGCTAGCACTCTTGTGAGGACCCCAAGGGCAGGCCAGTGCAGATGCCTGAATGTTAACACTCCTCTCTTTTGTTTATTATAGAAAAGTGGGGCGTTAGGAAGGGGTAGCAGGTGAGGTCGGGATGAGGATGATGTGTTCTGGAGACTGCTTCCTGCTGACCTGGGGGGCACTAATCATATTTGGGGGACCTGAGAAAGCTGGGGTTCTGGCCATGTCCTGGGGTATCTGGCTGTTTGACTTCTCTGTCTAGGCTCTGTGGACTGCTTGGTGCCCCTTGGACCTGGGAAATGCCATTCAAGGTGGATCCAAGTCCACTCCTGGAGCTCACAAGAACTTTAAGTTTACAAAGAGATCAGTTTTAGACACATCAGAAAGCAACCAAAGAGAATTTAAAATCTTGAATTTAAAATCCAGCTAAGGATGTCACTTGTCACTTGCTGTGCAGCTGGATGACCTGAGTTCGATCCCCAGAACCCATGTAAAGGTGAACGGGAGAGCCAACTTTGCCAAGTTGTCTTCTGACCTACACACACACACACACACACACACACACACACACAGACACACACCACATACACATCACACACACTATATACACATACCACATGACACACACATCAAACACACCATACACACCACACCACTGCACACATGCCACACACACAGGCACACACTACACACATATATTACACACCACATACATACACATAGACACATACTACACACATATACCACACCACACACTCATATACCGCACACACATGCACACACACACTCCACATATACCATACACCACAAATACTACTCTATACAATATACCACACACACACATTAGGCACACCATACACACCACATAACACCACACATACATTGCACACATACTACACAAATATACCACACAAATACACACCACACCATCACAACATACACACACATACATACCACACACCACACATACACACTGTTGTTCCTTTTGGAAACTACAGCTCCCAGATTCCTCCTGGATTACGGACACCTGCGCGCCCACGGGCGCGCACAGGTGCAGAACATTTCTCCCAGATACCCTTGCGCTTCTCGTTAAAAAGCGAGCTTCCACGAGGTCTCACTCTCTTGCCCTTTACCCTTGTGTGTCTTGCACACCTGTCCCTTATCGTGTCCCCCCATTAAAGCGCACCCACGTGGGAGCCGCGTGTCTGTGTCTTCTCCTTTCGTGCGTGTTTTGTCTGTCCTGTGTTTGTCTACACACACACCCGCTTTAAAAGAATAATACACACCATACCAAATAAAGGAAAAACATAAAGGGAGAAAAAAATCTCTCTCCCCTAGACAAACTCAGTTCCCCAGAGTGTGAGTTAAATAATCCCCTTTTCTTTATGATTTTATACGGAAGATTTTGTTTTAACAGCAGAAGATAGACTATCTAGGCCACCTTTACCAGCTCAGCGTGGTCAAGTACTCCTCCATCGCAGGGCTCAGCTCTTCATTCTCCTTTTGGAGTTTCTGACTTTTAATAAACGTAAACAGTACCCACCTTTTCCGTTATGGTCACCCATGGGACCTTGCCATCTTGTGTGTATAGTTAACGGTTTACCGTTCTTGAAACAGCTGTGAGTCTTCCTCCTTCCTCAGCTTCTCCTAGCAGCTGAGACTCCTAGGCACGCACCACCCACAAGGCTTGGCTGCCTCACACTTGGGAAAAAAAAAATCAAACTGGGTGTGGCTGTACTTGGGAAACGAAAGGAATAGTTCAAGGCCAGCCTTGACCAGCTAGTGAGACACCAATTGGGCTACTTAAGACCCTGTCTGAAAAAAACTAAAACACAAACAAACAATTTCAGTTTATTGGAACTCTTGATCTTTAGGACATTAATCACCCTGAGAACATTTGCATTTCCTTCCAGGAGGCACAGGACCTTAAGGTAAAAACATACAAGTTCAGAACAAAACAGATGATTATAAATCCTAAGAGCGCATATGAGTGTGTGCATTTACTACATTTTTTTTTTTCGAGACAGGGTTTCTCTGTTGTTTTGGAGCCTGTCCTGGAACTAGCTCTTATAGACCAGGCTGGTCTCGAACTCACAGAGATCCTCCTGCCTCTGCCTCCCGAGTGCTGGGATTAAAGGCGTGCTCCACCACCGCCCAGCCAAGTGCATTTACTAAAGCACACTTCCTGGCAAGGACTGTCGGAAACACAGTGTGTGTATTCCCCTCTGGTACCGTCAGTGGCCATCCAGCTGCTCTTCGAGAGACTATATTTTCCAGCTAGGCTTGTTGCATCGTGCCGGGGGTCCCAGTGCCGGTCATGACCTTACCAAACAAGCACCTCCCCAGTCCATGGTGGGGAATCCTGACTGCCAACCTGGCAGGATGGAGAAGCATCAAGGAGATTTGTAAAGTACTCTTTGGGGTGTGTCTAGGAGGGCGTGTCCAAGAAAAGAGTGAGCTAGGGGGAAGAGCCACCCTGAAATCCCATCCCATCGACTGAGGGTCCAGACGGAATAAGAAAAAAGGGAGAAACCTGATGAGGACGTCCTCTCCTCTTTCTGTCTTGACAAGGACTATCCTGCTCCGTTACTCCCCAGACCACCTCCACCTCACCTCCAGCACCATGATGGACAGAATCCCGTGAGGCCACGGGCTGGCAGCCATCTTCCCTCTGTTTATGCCAGCCATTCTATCCCAGCCGCGAGGACAGCACGGCCTCTGAAAAGGAAGCCTCAGCTGAAGATGGCTTTGCTGGCTCCCGTGTAATCCTCCCATCTGGCTGTGATGTGAGGAGGGATGCAGAGTGGGCTGCGGTAGGCATGGAAACGAGGCTGCCTGCTGCATCTTGCAGGAGAGAAAGCCTTACCTCCGACACCAACACATGTGCACATGCACACACAGACACATGGGCAGGTGCGTGTACATTCGGCAGGTGCTCTCGGCCTTTGTGCCAAAAGGCATGGGACAGAGAAGTCTTGCTTTCCTTGTCTGTAAGATGAGCTCATGAGCTGTGCTAAGTCTCAGAAACTGATGCTTCCCAAACCTACAGCTCTTCTAGATTCCAGCACGTTCTTTGTCCCTTTAAGTCTACCCTCCACTCTGGAGGGACCCCTTCCTCAAACCCTTTTTGACTTCTTGAGAATGTGACTTTTGCTGCTAGGTGTTGGTGGCACATACCTTTCCAATCCCAGCAGTCGGGAGGCAGAGGTAGGAGAATCTCTGAGTTTGAAGCCAGCCTGGTCTACAAAGTGAGTTCCAGAACAGTCAATGCTGTTACACAGAGAAACCCTGTCTTGAAAAAAATGTGTGTGTGTGTGTGTGTGTGAGAGAGAGAGAGAGAGAGAGAGAGAGAGAGAGAGAGAGAGAAAGAGAGAGAGAGATATGAGGGAGAGAGAGAGAGATGAGGGAGAGAGAGAGAGAGCCCTTTGTCTTCACCCAGGGCCTGGCTGACTACCAGTAGAGCCATGGAAGCTTCCGTGGTAAGGCTGCTGGTAAGCCACGACACGCTACGGCATGGTGGTTACTCACCATATGACCAGAAGCGGCGTGATATGACTGGTGAGATGCTGGCAGATCAAGTGGTAGCATTTGGTAACTATGGTGACAGCGTTGGCTAGAGTAGTGACAATGACTGGTATGGCTGGTCTGGAGAGCCTTCACCCTGTCAGCTGCAGGGCAGCTGCGGCGGAGGACTGGTTTCTGTCAAATGATGGGAATCTGAGCCAATTTCACGCACAGCCCTGTTAAGTCTTTCACACTTGAAAAAAGATGTCTGTAAGAAGGAGTGGTGGTGTGGAAGAGGCTGGAGAGATGGTTTTCAGTGGTTAAGAGCTCTTGTTGCTCTTGCGGGAGACCAGAGTTCAAGTCTGTGGGACCTGGAAGGCTCAAAACTGCCTGTGTAACTCCAGCCTCGGGGGATTCTAAGCTCTCTTCTGATTTCTGGGGGCACCCGCATGCGGACAGACACACACACCAAATAAACAAAAAAGGATGAGGGCCAAGGCTGAGATGGGGCCATGTGGCTAGAACTTTGTAGATCCCTGCAGTTTCCTGCTGACAGCGGTGGTTCCTCCCTCAACTCTTGAAAATGAGTCTTTCCTTGCTTAAAAACCATCCAGTGAGAGCTGGGCTGTGGTGACTTACGTCTTTGAGTTCCAGACCAGCCTGGTCCACGCAGAGAAAAAAATTGTTGAAAAACAAAACAAAATAAAATCCATCCAATGACTCTGCTTTGGCAACTGCCTCCAAAGAGGCACGGAGCTCCCCAGGGTGCAGGCCCAGCACCTGCTCTGTCTCCTGGGACACCCTCCTATAACGAGAGTGATGCTCTAGTACAGCCCAGGAGGAGTACAAGGCTCATTCTCAGAGAACCGTGCACACGTTCAAGAAGTGGCCAAAGCCTGGGAAAACTGCCAGGCACCTGGGTTTTATTCTGGGGTGTTAGATTAAGGAAGACAAACTTGGGGGTTCGATAGGACCAAGTTAATTGATGTAGACATCTTCACTCAGTCCCGGGGTTGTGTGGATTTGAGGCTTGGTGTGGTCTGACCCGGATAAATTGGTTATTTAAACCACCCAGTGCTTAGTGTCTTCGCTCAGGGGATCAGTTCTGGGAGGAAGGCCCCATTCCTGTGGCCTATGGTCCTGGACTGAATAGCAAGGGGCTGAGGAGATGGAGTGGTTAAAGTGCTTCTTACAAAAGTAGGAGGACCAGAGTTCGAATCCCTACCACCCATATCAGGTGGGTGTGTGGCTCACTTGTAATTTCAGCCTTTGAGTGAGGACGGGTCGCTGAGACTGGAAATTCTGGTGATGTCTGGGTTCGAGTAAGAGACCCTGTCATCAAGATGAATGAAGTGGAAGATTCTTGACATCAGTCTGGGTCTCCACACACACGCGCACACATGCATGTGAAAACACACACAAACACAGCCGCGCACGCACACATCCACACATCCACACAAAAGGACGAGGAGAAATGAATTGGCGTAAGCACTCATGACTCTGCTTCTTGTGGACATGGGCACATCTGCCTTGATTTCCCAGTGGAGATGGTGTGCCCTCAGACTGAGAGCCAAAATAACTTTTCCTTCCTCGAGCCCCTTCTGTCCGTGTTCTTTCATGGCACCAAGGAAGGGAACGAGGTGGCATCCACCTTTGATCCTTGTGGCGGCTCAAACACAAACCGCCCCCATTTAGGCTCACATATTTGAGTGTTCGGGTCCCAGTTGGTGAATGGTTTAGGAAGGTGTGGCTTCGTTGGAGGAGGTATGTACCTGGGCTGCAGGGGTGGGGAGGTTTCAAAGCCTACACCAGACCAGGTCCTGCTCTCTTTCTGCTGTGACCTTGTGGATAAAACACAATCTCTCAGCTACAGCTACGGTGCGTGCCTGCCTGCCTGCCGCCTGCCATGTTTCCCACCGTGATGATCGTGGACTAACCTTCTGAAACCATAGCCCTCAATTAAATTCTTCATTTTATGAATCGCCTTGATCGAGATATCTCTTCAGAGCAACAGAACAGTGACCAAGTCATCATGATAAAAGTTCTAAACACTAGGCCAGCCCATTACCTGACCAACAGGATGACTATTGGGCCCAGTGAGTAGGAAGCTGTATGTGATCTACGTTCTTAGGAATGTTTGCTAAGGGAAGGTGGGCCGGTGAGATGGCCGACGATCCTACACAGTGGAAGGAGAGGATCAACTCTGACAAGACGCCCTCTGGCCTCCGCAGGCACACACACTCATGCAAAGAAAAGAAAAATGTACTACAATCTAAAAAAAATTCAATAAAGGAGGAGAATAAGTCCCACAAAAAATTCAGGGACTGCCATGTCAATGAGCCTTGAAGGGGACCCAGGGGTTCAGGGCCTGTCTTTCCTCTAAGATGAGCGACCAGTATTCTCTTCACACTGCCCTCTTCAAAGGAAAAGGCAAAGGATGGGCTTCTGTGGGACTTTGAATCTGTGGGGGTGGGGGTGGGGAGATGGGACGGACAATATATACCACATCCAGCTGTGCCGCCAAAGCCATTTTCTGTGAACTCCACGAGACTGTGACCTTGGGGAAGAGACCCTGAAGCAGGTGCAGGCTGCGGAGGACACTGCCCAGTCACGTGAGCATTCTGAGTGAGAGGCCACGGCAGAAGGATGCCGGGTGGACAAGCGCCAATAGGAGTCTCTGGCACGACAGACCCTCAGGGTTTTCTAGAAAACCATGCCAGCGGCTTGTGCCAGTAACTCTTCTGCATTTGAAAAGTAGCTCCTGGCTCACACTGGACATGGCAGGGACAGAATGCCTGTCTGTGGGACCCCAAGCGACCCCTGTAACCAGAACCCATGGCATAAGACTGGACACGCACACTGGTGTTCCATTATTAAACAGCAGCGACGAGGTCAGGTCTGGACAAGCCCGGGAAGCCCGGGAAACCGCGTGAGCAGGCGGTTCGGATTCCCCTGGCACCCCACTTGCTGCTATGGCTGTTCTCCCTAGAGCACACGTGAGCTGTTATCCCATTAACTTGAAGAAACAGGCACAGATAGGATTGCTGTATATGTGTGTGTGTATAGATAGTTACAGATATAGACATAGGTAGTCAGTATATATGCCTATAGTTATATACTTTATTTTTTATTACCTTAAATTTTTTAGTATAATTTATTTCTACTCCACGTTCACTGGTGTTTTGCCTGCACGTGTATCTGTGTGAGGGTGTCACAGCCATGGAACTGTTGTGAGCTGCAGTGCAGGTGGTCCTGGGCATTGAACCTGGGTCCTCGGGGAGAACAGGCAGTGCACACCTCTGCACCAGCTCATGTGGATGCTGGGCATCCGAGCACAGCAGAGGACAGCTGGTTAGAAAGACCTTTCTCTTCTCCCACATATGAGTCCCAAGGACCAAATTCAAACACCCTTACCCACGGAGCCCTTACCCATCTCTCCTGCACGCCACAACCAGGCTGTCCTCGAACTCAAGGAGGTCCACCTACCTGTCTCCTGTGTGCTCGGATTAAAGGAGTGTGCCGCAATGGCTTGCACCTCCACTTTATTGGGGGGCAGGCAGGGACTGTCACCCAGCAGAGCTTGCTGATTCAGCTAGAATGGCTGGCTAGCCAGACTCTGGGTTCATCTCCTTCCCATCCCCCACCCTCCCCGCCCTGAGATGACAGCTCTCGATGTGAACGTTGGGCAGCTGAACACCAGTACACATAGTCAGAAGACTTAAAAATAGGGAGATTGGAGGCTGGGGAGAGGGTGCTGTAGTTTGAGAACCTTTCTTTGTAAAGGAGCAGTTATTGCCTGAGGGGTCTAAGTGCATGCTAATGACCCCGACTGGCATCCCCACCTGGTCGCTCCTGCCAGTACTGCATTTCTGGATGCGACAGAATGGCTCTCATGATCCGCCTCCTGCCATTTGATGGAGACCATCTGCAGTATTCTGTAGACTGCCATGTCATCCCAAGGAATCCTGCCATTAGCAGTACCGACTGGAGAGAACATGGCAAAGCTGGGAGCGAGACTTCCCCCTAAGTCTGGGCTTCTGATGGGCAGGGCTGCAGTGTGAGCTTCAAACAGTAGCTAGTATATGACACCGCTGGTTTTTGTTTTGTTTGCTTGTTTTTGAGACAGGGTTTCTCTGTGGCTTTGGAGCCTGTCCTGGCACTAGCTCTTGTAGACCAGGCTGGCCTCAAACTCACAGAGATCCGCCTGCCTCTGCCTCCTGAGTGCTGGGATTAAAGGTGTGCGCCACCACTGTTCTTACAGTGCAGTTTCACAAGCACAGGGAACAAGGGGTTATGTGCAGGAGAGTCTCTATTATTCCCAGTTACCTGCTGGAGGGATTCCTGCCTTTATTCCCGTGACATGTGGTTATGTTGAACTCTGTCTGTGGCTTAGCCAAAAGGCAGGAAGAGGGCCAAGGGCATCAGCTACAGGAAAATTAGTCTGCATTATCAGAAGGAAACTAAATTTTACTATACATGGGGGGTAGGCAGAAAGGCTGGCTGGAATCATGGGGTTCACCAGAGGCCTCCCAGTTCTCCTGTGACCCTTAGCTGTGGGGGACCAGGGAACCCAACAAACATCACAGCAGTACGAAGTGCAGATACATAGGGAAAGGGGGACACACAATAGTCAGGGTTCTCCTCTCAACCTCCTTGCCCTAGAATTTGTTGTTCTGGAGACAGGTGTGGGTATAAAGTCCCAGGTAGGACTCAAAGAATCCCCTACTTCAGCCCACCAGATGAAAACCCCAACCAGTCATGGCATTGCCCACAGTAAGAACAGCAAAGCCAGGCATGGTGGTGGCACATGCTTGCTGTGGGAGAATGATCTTGTACACTGTAAAGATTTGTCACTCATATCGGTTTAATCAAAAGCTGATTGGCCAGCAGCCAAGCGGGAAGTATTGGCAAAGCAGCCAGACTAAGAGGATTCTGGGAAGAGGAAAAGCAGAGACTCAGTTACCAGCCAGACACAAGAGGAAGCAAGATGAGAATGCCTCACTGAGAAAAGGTACCAAGTCACATGGCTAACCATAGACAAGAATTATGGGACAATTTAAGTTGTAAGAGTTAGTTAATAATAAGCCTGAGCTAACAGGCCAAATAATTTATAATTAATATAAGCCTCTGGCCATTGTCCTTAGAGCTCCAATGACTAACTTTTTAAGAAGGTTTTTGTGCAAGACATTAGGTGTCTTTCTCAATCCCTCTCCACTTTAATTTTGAGACAGGGTCTCTCTCTCTTTGAGCCTTAAGTATATCTATCAGTGGTAGCTGGCCATCTGGCTCCAGGGATTCCCCCTGGCCTGGCCTCCTCAGTGCTGGTACTGTCTGCTAAACTGATTTTTTACATGTATCCTGTGTGTGTGTGTGTGTGTGTGTGTGTGTGTCTAAACTTGGGTCCCTATGCTGTCTGAGCACTCTAACCACTGAGCCATATTCCCAGCCAATTATTTTATGTCTTCCTCTGTAGTTTAGGCTGCTTCAAAGTTGTGGTGATCCTCCTGCCTCAGCCTCTGGAGTATTGGAAATATTGGGATTGCAGGTGTTAGCCCCCATCCTAAGTTCGTGATGATTAATATTTCAAGTTAATCCCTGAGAAGAACTGGAAAATGGCAGGGATGCAGTGTTGCTGAGATTTTTGTTTCCCATGTAAGGATCATGTTTTCCTCCTTTCATGACAGACAAATTGACATGAAAATCTTCATTATCGTTGGTTTTCTGAGACAGGGTTTCTCTGTGTAGCTCTGGCTGTCCTGGAACTCACTCTGTAGACCAAGCTGGCCTCGAACTCAGATCCACCTGCCGCTGCCCTCCCCCAGTGCTGGGACTAAAGGCGTGTGCCACCATAACCTGGCGAGATTTATATTTTTATTTATGTATATGTGTAAGCTGGTATGAGTTTATGTGCACCATGTGTGTGCAGTGGCCACAGAGGGTTGGATTCTCTGAGTTGGAGTTGAGCTGTTAACCACCAAGCCATCCCAGTCAGGAAAATCCAAATGGAAATTCTGATCCACAGGTAGCTGTGCTGTTGTTTATGGACACAGCCGTGGCTGGACAGGACCCTTCCAGACACAGCTCTCTTTTCAAGTGTGGCTCTAGAACCTTTTATTGTTGCTATCCTTGAGATGGGGTGTAGCCTTGGAGCCCCAGGTTGGCCTCAAGGAACCCTTCTACTCCTACCCCTCCTGCCTGGGATCAGGCAGAGTCCTGTGCTGGTTGAGGGGCGGGGGATGTTTCCCTAAAGTGAGCTCTACTGGGCCTCATCCTTGGTGGTATTCACACTGCCTGCACCTTCGGAGTGTTCCAGCGGTTCCCTGCTGGGACAGCAACACAGGGATGCAAGGTGATCCTTTCCTATAATCCTTTTGGCATGGCCCCCTTCAGATATCCTCAGTAAAGTCAGCTCTGAATCCAGGTCCCAGGCTTGGCAGAGCCTCTTGGACAGTACAGATTCCTCTGGGCTGAGATCTCACTGCCCTCTGGTGGTCAACTACTGGAAATGCCGCTCAGTTCCCAGCTCTGCATTACACACAAACCCCTTATTCCAACAGGGTACATACAGGGACTGTATGGTCCCGCTTTCCCAGGTGGGAGCACAGGGCTTCAGAGGCTTTGCACCGCCCTCAGGTCCCAAACATAAACTACAAGGTCCCATCCTCCCCCTCTGTTCCTCGGAGCCAGACATACTGGCTTTTAGCAAGCGGAGCAAACAGACTTGTTAGGGAAAAGAGAAAACTCGCCCTGGTCTTCCTTGGGCCTCAATGTCTGGGTGCCAGTCAGGAGACTCCCTGCTAACAGCCGGCTGCCCTGCTGCCCCCACTCACACACCGGGGTTTCTAGCCGTGTGGGCACTGGGAACTGCTGCCCTTCAGCACCGAGCTGAGGCCCTGAGCACAGACACGGTACCCCATCACACCGTGTATCTCCAGCACTTGGCACACAGTATCAACCCCACCAGCAGATGATGGTGGCGGTGTCTCTGTGCCAGGCTCTGAACTTAGTTCCTCAGGCGCCTTTGTTCCCAGGAAGCAGCCCTGGACTCTTATAAAAAACTCACATTGATTTATTAGAATATGAAAAAGGTTCAGTTTCTTTTGTACAGGTGGCAGAGCGGCGGCAGCTGCAGTGGCTTTGTACATGGTTGTCGATGTCACCTTCCATGGCAACTCCTGCCCGAAACAGCACTTGCCAACAGAGGAGACAGCTGGGCCAAGCACCCACGGCCCCACCCCTGGGAGGGACCCCTCTGACTACTGCAC